CCCCCGCCCCCCTCTCCAAAGCCACTCTCTGAGAACTTTAGTCGCATTCATCATGAAACTTGCTAACTAGCACGTTATTAGAAAAGGCGATTTGCAAAGATTCATTAAAAAAAACGTATACTCACTTCTTCTGTAGGTGAAGCTGGATCATGAAAGATTCGCGCGAACATAGACGCATTTATGTAGATCAGGGGTGCGTTCCCTTCAAAAACAAACGTAATCCACTGCGTCTTCAGCGGCTCAGATGTCGGGAGTAAATGACGACTGCTATGTTCATGATTACATCCAACAACAGAACACCTCAATCGCTTAGGAGTCATTCTTGTCTACATCTGCTCCGGCGGTGTACACACACTGCCAACACACATTTATGTTCAAACAACATGGAAAAGTGCATTTCGCATCCGATGACCCCTTTAATACAAATATCAAAAACATAACCGTAATAGTAACTGTGAATTCAGACAGTATTGCACATTTTTATATGACATTACATACCGAATGAGAGGGAATTTTTTATTAACTATTTAACTTTGGTGCTTGTGGAAAAAAAAAAGGGGATGTATAACAGTACTTGGTTCAACTTGTATATATTTTGTTATACATGAATTTACTTTACATCAATTTGTTAGTAAATTAACTTTATACCGTTGTATACGGAAGTACTGTGTTGTTATTTGTTACTATGTCCTTTATAAGAGAACACTATATTTAGTATTGGCTGAATGAGCTTGCTTGGGATTTTTTTCCTGACTGTTCTCTTTAAATCATCTTGGTTTTGTATTCCACTACTTTTATTGTATTGTGCCTTGGAATAAATGCGTTTGATTGTTGTATTCTCATCTGTAAGTCATTTGGATAAAATTATCTGCTCAATGAATAAACGATCACATACAGATATACTGCTGCTGGTAATAGTATCTGATCATGTCTGTCCTCTAGTGGACAAACACTGATTTTGCTGTTCGCAAGTATGCATAACAGATTTGAATGTACTGTCATGATCACCACTGCACTACATTTCCCACAATCCCTCCTGACTCTTATCTGCATGCAGATATAAACTGAAGAACAGACTAATATTCACATTTATTTTTATGACCAAGAGCATGATTGTGGTCAGTGTCCCCCCCAACCCAACTTGTTTCACACTCAGGGTTTTTATCTCTCTCACTCCAGTGGTTTCCAGCTCCAGTTTCTTTCTAGAACTGATTAACAGTGTGTTTTCAAGCAGAAACACCCGCAGCCATAATGAGATTAATGTTTCTAACATTGTAAAATATATTTTAAGGTTTATAATGTACTTTCTCTGAACATTTCATTTGCTAATAAAATTCTAAATGTATAAATATATTACAAAAGAGTCTGCTAAATAAATAAATTAATTGATTTAAATCTCAATGCTGGTTCTAGATTATTTTACTCTAAAGTATCTCTAAGAGATGCTGATGCATTGCAATAGTTTGTCCTTTAACACCAAATATCATGTTTTTTGTTTTTTTTTAGAATCATACAGGCATCATAGAAGATTGTGAACATATTTCACTGAAACTTGATTGCATCATCTTCATTTTGTGTTTATTCCCGTTCAGTGTCAGTTATCATGTATTAATGTATTAAGCTACTGTTGTTAGAGCACTGTCATTTTTGCTACAGCTACCCATGTCAATAAAAATAAAACATGTCTTGCCATTTTTAATAATAGAAGCTACAAGTTATTATAATACCAGGCAGTGAGAGCAGTAAAACAATAATAAATAATATTAAGAAAGAAATATTAATAAAACTGTTATTAAAAAGATTTAAGGTTATTCATAACACCATAAAGGTACTAAATAGCACTTTCAAAACATGGTTTTTAAGGCACCCTATAAAAAGGGTTCTGCTATTGTTTCCAGAATCATAATCCGGTATTGTTAAGAGCCATTGTTCTTGTGAGTGTGTGTTAAGGTTTGGCCTTTAATAAGTATTACCTGTTTGTCGCTCCTTGGCTCTTCAAAGAATGTTATCAACTCATTTCTGCCCCCATGAGCACAATGACAAAGACTTCAAACAAAAGCTTGCTTAATTGCTAGTTTAAGACTAAAGCCAGATTTGCATAACCCAGCAAATTTTTGTATTAGGATGGCAGGACCACAGTGACTCCTTGCTGTGTATTTAAGGATAGTTTCTGCAGTGCTTACAGTGGGTGGCAGTAATGCTCTGCTAACAGGCGTTTCAAAAGTGAAAGTTTTCTGTCAGACTCGGACTGTTTGGGTGTGTTGGTAAGAAAAGACAGACTGACAGGACGGGAACTCGAGTCAGGATCATGATCTTGAATTCTGCAGCAATATGAAGAAAGTGTTTTTATTTGTTTCTTTCGTATTAATTTCGGACGGTAAGTTGATTTCGTTTTATTTCTTCAGTACTTTCGGTTTCATGTCGTTATGTCTTGTGCATGACTGCAACCAGCAGAAGAAGCGAAATACAACGAGTCTCGATTATTAGTACAAATCGTGTATTTATAACCTCAGAAAAAGTTCTACCAAGTCTGTGATTCAAAACAGATGAATGTGCGCTCCCCCTCTTTGTGATAGGCTATTGATAAAACTGAAATATTCAAATGAGGAAGAAAACAATTTACTAAAAAACTTATTAACTGCGAAAAACACAGTTTGGGTGGATGGGACAGCATAATATTTGGGACAGTGCTTAAAGGCTTTGCTAATTAAGAAAATGATTTAGGGGGGAGAGCGGGGCTCAAAGTAACACTTTTTGACTTTCTTAAATTGTGTAAATCCACATGGGGTTCAGAGTATAATTTTATAATCCACAGTAATTTCACACTTGTCTAGTACAAATATATTGTTTGTTTCATAATTACAGTGTATACGTTTTTCTTTATTTACCCTCAAAAATTGGAAGTGAAATGTGACAACATGCCCCTTAGGTGGGGTACATTGTAACAGCTGAGGGGCACGTTGTAACATGACCATATAACAGCTTAAAATGTTATCTGATTGAATAAAAAAAATATACAAGACAAACTAAAATATTTTGTCAATAAAATAAAATAATTATTTCAAATAAAATAATGGCGTTTTTTAAGAATTAAAAATAATCTGATTTTGGAGTTTGACAATGAACACATTGCAACCATGCTTGGGACGGCCCACATAAACGAGCCAAAATGCTTTACATGTCTTGAAATAATGTTTGTTTCTCGTCGTTTATCATTAAAAATGTATTCAAGTAAATAGTGTGAATTACATCACTAATGTCGTAGAATAGCACATTGTAACGCAGTGTTACAACGTGCCCCATCTGCGCAACTGGAATTCAAAACTGGTTACTGTCTTCTGATAGTTAGCGAAGCATTAAAAAATTAATCTAAACTGATAAATAACAGATTGGAGATTAAAATAATAGCAGATTTGTTTCATTTTAAATGAGTAATAAAAACTGAGATGAAAAATTTACTTAAGCCAGAAATATAATTTTACTATGGTAAAATAAATGTCCAGCCATATCTTCTAAAGACTTTTGAATTTTGGCGCACTTTTTTTTCTCCATTTAATGTTGATATAGTAACTAGTAAATGCTGTAAATTTGGTTATGCTAATATGTGTCGAAATATTTAAACCACGTGCGTTACAACTAACCCCGCGTTACTTTGTGCCACGCGCTCCCTAATAGAGAACCATTGTATATGATCTGTATGCCCTAAATCAGTGGTTTCCAACCTTTTTATTTATGCAAGCCTTAATCAACCACAAAAATATTCATGAACTAGCTAGATTTTTGCTAAAATAAAAATCCTGAAATAGAAGCATTTTGAAAATAGAAGCATTATAGATCAACTGTTTAAAAACCTTGTAAGACTGAATCTAGTAATACACATATTTAACTATTCAAAATCTTTATTGGTCCATCTCGGGTAACTTTATTAATTTTTTTTTACACATTTTTTAAGTGGAAGATGGATACATTTTTTTCAGTCCTGTTACCAAAACTCTTATGTCTTTTAAAAAGCATGTTTAAAAATATGTCAACAAATTCCTTAATTTTCCCCTCAGGCACGTGTTTATTTTGAAAAAATTGTTGGTTTGATCATAAAAAAAAAAAAATCACTATTTATCTACACAAAGTGTATTTTTCTAAAATACACAACCCCATTTTTTTTTTTTTTTTTTAAAGGGGACTACTGGGTAACAGGAATGAGTATCCATTATATGTGTATATATGTTTGACTACACATGTGAGGTGTTAATGCCCGCACTGATATAGTGAAAGTGTTGAACACTGACTAGTGTGCTGACCTCACTGCTAAAAAAAAAAAAAGGAGGCTAAATCATGTTTCTATTTAAATCTAGTGGTCTGCAGAGGTTTTTGTCAGGGTTATGTTTACAGGTAGGGGGACAGGTTATGAGATAAGATATACATAACGAAAAATAATAAATATCAAATAAAAATTGATATTAAAAATAATAAACTTAACAAATAATGCCTATTCAGTTTTTCTGTGGATGTGGTTTTCTTACAGCGCAGTTCACACTCAAACACCATTCCATGTATGACGAGTCTAATATAATTGCCACAGGACAGAAATTTCAAGTACATTTTCTGTCATACTTGCAGGAATGTAATATAAAACAGCAATGCAGGAACAACCATAAGTTTTCTCTGGGCAAAAACATTGTCTCAGTGTAGATAGAAGGCCAAAACTTTGTATTTTCAAATGTATCTATATTAATATGGATGTAGCCTAATATTTACATTAATAAATCAGATGACACTACTCACTCCTGTTACTTTTACTCAGTTACTATATATGAGTATAGGATATATGAGTACGAGTAACAGGACTGAAAGTAACAGGATTGAGGATAAAATTTTAGGATAAAATGAGCAAATACATATAATATAACCACATGGAGTACATGCTGATATTATGAGGATACTCAGCAAATTATAGTGATTCACCAAAGATTTGTATTTTTTAAAATAAACAAGTAACATCTAAGAAATAATTTAGGTAACAGGACAGTATATTTATAATGACGCACCCAGCCACTTTTACAATATCATCAAATATACAGAAAAGAAAATGAGACCACATGCTTTAGGTCAGTGGTTCTCAAACTTTTTGTATCACGTACCACCCCACCTCACAGGACTGAGTGAAAACCTGGGGACACGACGAAAAATGTGTATTTTTTTCTAAAATATGATAGATTTATTTGGAAATAAATGGCACAGGTGGGATATGGAGGTACACAAAAATGCAAAATAAATATTATTTTAAACATTATATTTCATGTTAAAATGTAGCGTTCGACACTGGGGACATGTACAAATGCTATACTTCCAGTGTTTTAGGTAGCTTTTAATAATTTTATTCATTTTTTAAATTATATATTTTACATTTGCAGTTAGGTTAATATGCAGGACACTTTGCTTAATAATAAAATGTATTTTATAGTTCATTTTTATGCATATTTGTACATATAATGTCCTGGGGACAGAAATGGCGCCCATACGGTGGAATGGCCCTCATATTTGGTCATATATACTCGTCTTGAAAACGTCAAATAAACATTTATATCCATTTGATTTATTCTCTGTTATTTGTTAAAAGTCTATTCCCTGAGCACATCACAATTTCTGTGACATGAAAAAGTCTCTAGTTTGCTTATATGTGTTTGACATTATATGATGGGAATAATTCTGTCATATTTAATATTATTCTGTATTGTTTTGTGGGCTGTATTAACATCAATTGGCATCATCCTAAATGATTGATTGCAGTTATAATGTAGTTTACTGATATAAAAAAAATCAAGTAGCTGTTTCGGTTTGTTCTGCAGGTGTGTTTGGGGACATGGAAAAAGTGCCAGTGAAGGAGGGAGATTCTCTCACTCTACACACTGATGTCACTGAAATACAGAGAATATTTTTCTTGATGTGGATGTATGGATCTCAAAACAATATTATCGCTAAAATTGATGGGAAAACGCAGATATTCTCATTATATGATGTTGATGATGGGAGGTTTGAAGACAGACTGCAGTTGGACAATAAGACTGGATCTCTGATAATAAGCGACATCAGAACCAAACACTCTGGAGATTATCATCTAAAGATCATCAGCAACGAGACCTTCCTCAAGACATTCAGTGTTACTGTCCATGGTGAGAAGCTCAGATATTTTTATACTATTTTTATGTTTCTTTTCCTTACTCCTCTTCTCTCCTGTTTGTTTTCCAGATGTGATTTTTGCCGGGTTAGAAAACAAGAAAGAAGGGGATTCTGTTACTCTACACACTGGTGTTACTGATTCACAGAAACATGATCTAATACTGTGGACATTTGGACCTAAGAATCCAGACAGTCTTATAGCTGAACTGAACATGAAGGTTCATGAGATCACATTTAGTTCAGAAGATATATACAGAGGGAGACTACATCTCGAAAATCAGACGGGATCTCTCACCATCAGAGACGTCAGAACCACAGACGCTGGAGTTTATCAACTACAGATCTCCAACAGTAAAGAAACACTATACAAGAGATTCAACGTTTTTGTCGGTACGTACTTCACATTAAAAGAGGGTTTTCCTCATACTGGAATCCCACATGTGATATACTTACACTAATGACCGTCTTTCTTCAGCCAATCCAGATCCGGGTCTGTCCACTGGTTATATTGGGCTCATTTGTGTCCTGCTGTTTGTGGTTGTATCTCCGGGTGTGATTTACTATATGTTCAGATACTGTAAACAGAAAGGTAAGTGTTATCAATAGCTAATATAGCAATAGGGATAGGCATATAATGGTTTTAAGGCCATATTTACTAAACAGGGCAAAAAGCACTGATGGGAGTGGAAAGTTCTGTGGCTGATCAACAATGCGCACAGAATACAGACGCAGCTAGATCATTTCTATAATGACCAACGCAATCTACCTAGTGCAGTGCAAACATGGCTTGGCAAACAATATGTTCAGATAACATCCTCCACTGGTATTCCAAATAAATGAACATGACTGCAGTTTTTTCCTCCTACAGCATTACAGCCAAGAGCAAAATAGGTTGTAAATTAACCTGTTAGCGTTCCAGTGTGTTTAGTTACATTTTACAGGACTGCTAAAGGGTTAACCCTTTCATCTGTGATCATTAATGTACAAGCTTTTTCAAGTTCTTCTATGTTAAAACATTTTACATCTTCCCCATTCACTTGATGTTGAGACAGAAAAGAAAACGGTGTCAGTGTCGGAGGGAAATTCCGTCACACTGAAAACTGGTGCTACTAAAATCCAGAGAGACAATGAAGTGCTCTGGATGTTTGGATCTCAAGATACAGTCATCGCTCAAATCTACAAAAAGGCTGGCAATATCTCATACGCTGATGATGAGCGATTCAGAGACAAGCTACAGCTGGACCATCAGACTGGAGATCTGACCATCAGCGACATCCGGATCCCAATCTCTGGAGATTATCAGATGAAGATCACCAGCAGCAGATTGACTAAAATGAAGAGATTCAAAGTTATTGTACGAGGTGAGATTTTTTAAATATTTCAAATATCCTTTATTATAATATCCTTAATATCCTTTATACTACAAATATTACTTTATTCTTTTTAAGCTTTCGGGGCTCTTTAGTGGCTGTTAAGTTGTTCATCTGCAGATTTACATGTAAACATTTTTATATTTCGGTTACATGAAGAGGACACACAAAAAATCACGGAGGGAGAACCTGTCCATCTGCAGACCGGTGTCACTGAACTACAGGAAGATGATCTGATACTGTGGACGTTTGAAGATGCCCTCATAGCCAAACTCAATAGAGAGAGCAGTGAGAACAGCGTCTACAATGTTAATGACGAGAGATTAAAAGACAGACTGTGGCTGGATGAGCAAACTGGAGATCTCACCATCACGAACACTAAAAGCACTGACTCTGGAGTTTACGAACTGCAGATCAAGAGCAGCAATGAAGTCTCCTACAAGAAATTCAATGTTCTTGTTTGCTGTGAGTAACTCAAAAAAATATTTTCAAACAATAATCAATAAGCTGGATTGTACCTGCACAATATAGCTAAAAATGTATATCTTATAAAGTACAAATTATTTACAAAATCAACACAGTAAAAAAACAACAACATGTAACTACATTTTTTTTTGTTTTTTACTAAATTAACTCAAAAGGAGGATTTAAAATCATATTTACTTAAAGGTACCGATATAAAAATATGAGAGACAAATAAACAGTTTTATTTTAAATTTGGCTATATTAAAATACAGTATGTGAGTGTAGAGAGTAGAAGAGAAGCAAACAAATGTAAAAGGCTGACATTAGGCAGAATGTAAATATGTTAATTAGCGTATGACAGTATGGTTGTTTTGACCCAGCAGTTGGGATGTTTTGACCCAGCAGTTGGGATGTTTTGAACCCAACCGCTGGGTCAAAACATCCCAACTGCTGGGTCAAAACAACCCAATAGCTGAGTTTGTCCCTTTTTAACCCAACGCTGGGTTATATTTAACCCAGCATTTTTTTTTTTGAGTGTACACTCTAAAAAATGCTGGGTTAAATACAACCCAGTGCTGGGTAAAACAGGGATTACCCAGCACTGGGTTGTATTTAACCCAGCATTTTTAGAGTGTAATGAAACTTCAAACAGCAAATTATCCAAAGAGCGCTTCTTTTATTATCACTTAAGCTGTCAATCAATCACTTCAGTTTAAGATCACTGAGTAAGTTCTGCACTAAAAAAAAACATTATAATCAATATTCAATATCACTCAGCTGCACATTAACACTCCTATGTTGCACTGTGACTTTGTGCAGTGAATATGCTGAAACATACAGTTGGAGATTCTGTCACTCTACAAACTGATGTTACTGAGCTGAGGAATGATGGCAGGATACTGTGGAAGTTTAGCGATAAAGACATTTTAATCGCCGAACTCAACCGAGCCACCAATCAGACCTTATTCTATGAAGGTCCTGATGGGAGATTCAGAGACCGACTGCAGTTAAACCAGCGAACTGGAGATCTGACCATCAGGAACATCAGCAGAGCTCATTCAGACGTTTATACACTTCAAATCACCAGCGGCAAAAAGAGTATATGCAAGAGATTCATGGTTATTGCCCACGGTGAGTAATGTGATGCTGTAAGAATTAAATATTTAGATCATATTAAGTACTATTTTAACTTTAATGGTTAAAGACACACACTATGTAAAACTGATGTTAACACAATTTAATCAGTGCAGACACTTCTGTTCATTGCACAATTTTTGTATTTTTCCCCCCACCCATTTACTCTGCTTTTCTCAAATTCTACCAATAAAATGTGGATTTTCACATTTCAGACCATGCATAGTTTAGAAATACTGTTAAAAGTCACTGATTTCTTTTTTTTTTCAGTCATTCAGGTTTACTCTACATAATTAGTTCAACCAAACCGACAAAAAATTGCAAACCTGTATAAAGTATTTCTTGTGTGGCGTACAAAAGATGATGTTTTGATGAATGCTACCACTTCTCTTTTCCATCACAATGGTTTTGTGTGAGGGAGTGAATTAATTAAAATTAGCTTTTAAAAACTTGTGCTGTAATTTAGCTTCAGTGCTACTGCAGCAGTAAGATTCCCTGTTATAATGTTCAGGTTTTTCTCTTTTTTGTGGTGCTGGGACAAAATAAAGAGAAGACTGTGTCAGGGATGGAGGGAGATTCAGTCACGCTAAACACTGATATTGAAATACAAGAAGATGTCCTTATACTGTGGATGTTTGGGCCTGAAGTCTGTCCAATTGCTAAAGGTGAAACAAAGGAAAAGATCTCTACATATGATGATGCTGACGGGAGATTCAGAGGCAAACTGAATCTGAATTATGAGTCTGGATCTCTGACCATCACAAACACCAGAACCGAACACACTGGAGTTTATAAACTACAGGTCATCTGCAGAAGAGAGACTAAATATAAGACATTCAGAGTTACAATTCGTGGTAAGTAACATGTTGATCGAAGTTATGTGGCCTCTGTGTACAACTGATGTGATCTGAAGTTTGCAGTAAAATAAAGTAAATTGCATATATATATATATATATATATATATATATATATATACAGTTCCATTTGGTGGCATTAATGGTGCAGAATTAAATATTTAAACTTTACATTTAAATTACATATAAATACATTTTCTATGGTGTTTATTCATTTTTGCTGGACCTTTATTTTTAGTGTGATTGATTAGAAATGCTTCGCTGTGTGCGAAATTGCATAATGTCTGAGTAGGTAATACTTTACGTTTCATGAAGAACTAACTTACTGACCATTGAAAAAAGGTTATTTTAATAGTATAAACACTATAGTTAGAATATAATCGAGACATACATTCGCCATATTGTCATTGTCACCAGCTTTGGTTGCGTTGCTTCACTGCCATTCATAACTCCACTCTGGTTTCAAACAATATAATCGGTGTTGCTTATCTTTTCATGTTAGCATTTAATGTAGCTGTAACCTTCCGTGATTTGTTTGTTTTCTTGCAGAGAGTGAAAGAAATACGGACTTTGGGCCTGAGCAGGAAGGTATCCATCCCCCTGGTACAAAAATGAAACTCGCAACAGAAATAGTAACTGTGAACATAACTGTGAACAGTTTTAGAGAGTATTGCACATTTTGTATGGTGTTACATACACATTGGGGTTATATATACCACCACACAATTAATGTATTTTTGTTGAAAATGACTACAGTCCTCAATTTGTTAGCAAATGGACCTTATACAATAAGTACTGTATGTTTTGAAAACACTATATTTAACTGGAATTTGTCATTATCTCTATTACTGATGTGCTAATGAGCGTGCTTCAGGTTTTGCTGCCTCTTTTGTTTTCTTTCAATTATCTTGTTTTTTTTTTCTCTCCTCCAGTATCATAAGGTTTTGTTTAATAGCTATAATAGTGTTGTCTTGTTACCAAAAAGTCAGTACCAATACCAGTAAAATTCCAGAGTTCTCTGTACGAATTCCGATACTATAGCACATCTATTGTAACTAATTTATTTTATAATCTTCTTATGTTTAATTTTGAAAGTGGATGTACTTTGAGGGTTCAAATGTTTATGGTGAGAGTTTTTGCATTGTATGTATATCTCATGCTGCTCCCTTTTGAATGATTCTCCTCTTTCAATATTACCTTATTTGAAAGATTGGATGGTTATTTTTGTTTTATTTTTCTTTTGCAATATTTGACCAGTTTAAATAAAACAAGTGTTACAGCTTGTTCAACATATGTGTTCAGGTAAGATAAAAGCAATAATAAAACCTTGAATAATTAAGTGCACCACTGAATTTATTTAATGCTTTTGATCAAACATGGATTAAACAAGGACACAATCTTGAAAATGATTCAAAAGCAGTCCAAGATTAGATGAAAAGTTTATTGTATTTTTGGCCATTGCAGATGTTAAAACTTGCTAAATGGAGGATGTTTTTCTTTCATCGTCTCAGTTTTTCCTGCTTATCCAATGATCTGAAATGAACAAAATGGCACAAGAAACATGAAAAGGAACTAGTATTATGATACAGTCGTGATCTTTATTGTTTGTTAATTATAAATGTAAAGTGTATTATAATGATGATGAGATCTTATGAATTGCACTTACGCCATTAATCCAGCTGGTGTAGGCAGACACACGGGTGAAGACTGTTGGCTTCTTGGTGGTGTTACAACCCAATGAAGATACAAAGCTGGTCACACCGTGGACGACGTACTGACCGCTGACCTGACAGTTCAGAGGGCCACCAGAGTCACCCTAAAAACACCACAAGAGCAGCCAAAATGAGACAGTTTACTGCATTACCAAATACCTTCTCACAGGAAATAGTTCATGATCTGTTTGAGAGTCTTTCTTACATTACATCCAGAGTCGCTTGCGCCACCAGCGCAAACCATGGTGTTCTTCACAGTGCTTCCCCACCAGTCGCTACGAGTGCAGGTACTGTAGTCGACCACGGGCAGATAGGCCTGTTTCAGCTGAGCTGAGAGTGACCCCCCAGCTGCATGAAGATCAGAGGAGAGAAATGAGTCAGAAATGATTTCAGGCAACATCATGGCTGATTTGTTGTACTTGAAGCTAAACTGACTCGATGTGAGGCCCCAGCCGGTGATGTAACAGGGGTTGTTGTGGGGCAGAACCTGTCCAGAGGGTGGCAGGGTGGCCAGCTGCACATATGAGTTCAGAGAGGCGCTGGAGGACAGGCGCAGAAGGGCGATATCATATCTGAAATGCACAGAATGGACAGTCTACAAGTTAGATTTCACACATTTATCATGCTAGGGGGAGCTATAACATTAGAAAATCTTTGATACAATCATGTATGTTGTGCTGATGCGTGTAATTGTACATTTATGTTGCATTAACATTAGGTCTAAAAGTCGATACAGTCAAGTAAGCTGAAAAAATTAAATTGTAGATATATTGTATATGCTGTGTCAAAGTTATATTGCATGATTGTTGATATATAATATGTTGAAATTACTGTATTTTATGTGTTAGGAATAATTACTCAGCTGGTCATTGTTCCCAAACAGCAATTTTTAAATATATTTCAAAATATACAAAAATGTATATATATGTATTAAATATTTACCAAAAAAAAAATTTTCATAAATATATATACTATCAGTCTATTTTTTGTACATTTTTGAAAATACATTTTATAAATATAAATAATAAAATTTTAAAGCATTTATTATATATTTTGCCCTATGTATTTCAATACAAGAAAATACCCACATAGGCCACATATTTTACAAGACTCAAAAAAAAAAACATGAAACACTTAAATTAAATAATTAAAAAAAGATATTTTTAAATTTTACCTGTAGCCTATATTATATTAAAGCAGACTAGCAACAAGAACACTGCAACAATATATGTTAATACTACTGAAGAATTCCTCCGAGGTCATATTTCATTGTATGAAACGAAATAGCCTAGCGCGAAGCGATACAAGAGACATGAAAGTAGCCCCGAACAGATACAGTACAAACGTTGCTATGGAGTAATGGTTGCTTGACAGTTATTAATGAGCAAATCTCTGACAGCTGAATTCCGCAATTGACCAGTCACAATCAAGCATTGAAGAACTGTCAATATAGTTGAATATGTTGCGTTAAAGTTAAATTGCTGAGGAAATGAGATATAATAAGGTTGTAATAGTTGTTGATACATTTGTGTGCTGAGTTGTGTCAATATAGTAGCCTGCTCTTTGTGTTCGTTAAAGTTATGTAGCTATAATTGTCCATACAGTCGAGCGTGTTGAGTTAAAGGTGGGGTAAGTGATTTCTGGTAGCCAATGTTGATATTTAAAATCACCAAAACAAACACGCCCCTACCCCAAAAGGGTCTCGCACCTATTTTGATAGCTCCGCCTTACACATACCTACGCAACCCAAGCAACGATTAGTTCTGTGAAACAAAGCAAAACTCATTATAATCAGTGATGCTGTCTACACTGGATGCGGCGCGGCGCAACACGACACGACAAATCTGTACTGTACCGTACTGACACAAATTTCAAATGATTTTCAATGGTCGCTTTGTTGCATCCAGTGTAGACAGACTTTAGCTGTTGCGGCACGGTGCGACGCGACAACTGTCGCATCCGGTATAGACACGTTGTAAGCCTTCTTTTGTTCCGCAGACGTTTTCCTCTTTTGTTTTTTATCCGCCATCTCTATCTTTCTGTCCTTGCTCGGCTCGGCTAATGACCGTCCTGTGCACTGAACGCTCTCTCCTCAGCATCATTAGAAGACACGCCCCTTACTGCTGATTGGCTACACGTTTGTTTTGGTACTCCGCCCGACTCAATTTTCTGAAGCGTTTTTGAAAAAATACATACCCCACCTTTAAAGTTATACGTGTAATTATATATTGTGTATAATTGTCACCACAGTCATGTATGTTGTGTATGTAATGTTTACATACCCAGAAGCCACACTGTTGCTGTTCCAGTTAGGGTGGACGTAGACGTTGCTGACGCTCATGTACTGCTCGCGACCCTCCTGGGTGTAGATGTCGTGGTCACCCAGAACAACACGCCAAGTTCTCGAGCTGCACAGGAAACACATTTAAGTAAACAAGGGTAAAGTCAGGAAACAAGCGTACACTTTTGAATTTATTACATTTGCTCTGTATAGACGCTTTCCTGAAGGCGTGAAATATTCAGTCATTTTTGTCAAGTCATTTTTTTATAGTGCTTTACTATAAAAAGTAGCTTCATAAGAAAGTAAGAGTTTTGGTTCATTTCAGTAACTATGCAAAGTTCATTCATTATGAAACAAGTTAAATTCAGTATGTAAGCTTACTTCCACCACTGAATTAAAAAAAATAAAAAGGGTAATTGTGACATTTTATCTTAAAATTCAGACATTTTTCTTGCAATTGTGAGTTTACACCACACAATTCTGACTTTTTCCCTGTGATTTTATGTCTCACAATCCTTCTGAGAAAACAAGTCAGAATTGTGAGATAAAAAAGTCACGATTATCTTTTCACTGAAGGTGAGTTATAGCTGCCACCAGAGAGCAGACTGCGACAATCATATGAAAGTGAGAAGGAACTTTATACTGTATGTGATCTCTCACAGATTTTTCAGATGTGTTTGTTGTTTTTTAACAATCTAGATACAGAAAACTTTCATTACGTGTCAACGCAGTGGGCAGCAGTCATCACCCAATTAGCTCTGATCAGACTCCCACCACAGGTATGATAGTAGCTGCCGCCAGACAGGTACTGGAGAGAGATCTGGGAAAGAGGCAGTGAATTTGTTAGAATCAGAAGATTTGAGGGGGAAAACAATAGAAACGCCCTCATTTCAATATGAGTGGTCTTTGAAACTTGATTAAAATAACCCAGCAAGTAGACTGGATTTAATTCATGCTGAAAAATGCAGCTTGAAATGGTTTTACTTGGTATCAAGCTAGTTTTTAACGATCATTCTGATGCCAGCCTGCCTTGTAGGCCATCTTTGTCAAGATTGTTAGTGAAACAGCAACTAACTTTCAACTACATTAAGAAAAATATCTTGACCACCTTAACCTTGTACATATGCAAGGTTAACCATATCCATTTAGAGGTGGAAAAACGCCAAAACAGCTTATTTATTGCGTTATTGTTAAGATGTTTTACCTGCCAAGGCCAAGAGTTGGGTCTTGCCACCTCTCCACCAATGACCCTCTGCTCAGGGGTCTCCTCCAGATATCTGGGCTCAGCCAGCGCTGGATACAAAAACACACTTAGACATAGGACTGCAGTATTATTGCAGTTTGAGTTCATATAGACTCAATTTTTAAAGTTCTGAGTATTGCATGCATTGTAAATTAGCAAAATCTAAGCTAAATGCAAATGATTCTCTCAATAGAAACAGACAAATGTCTTACCCAGGGCGACCAGCACACTCAACAACAGGATCCTCAGCATGTTTGCAGTCTGTTTGGACTTTCTGCACTCTGAACACTCCTGTCATCCGTATATATGTGCCCGCAGAAGTTCACAGAACAGGTGTTTTCTCATGGCTGATGCCCACAGGTGTGTGAATCCCACAGATTTCACCACTGCCAAGGCCAATGTGCCAGTTGCAGAATAAACTTGTTTATCTAGATTGACACAAATGCTTGACCTGAATTAACTTTGAGTTAGTTCATTTCAGTATTACTCTTATGCTTCTTATATAAAGTTCCTGTACAGTATAATTGAAAGTGCTCATTTTGATGTCACGTTTATTTTAAGTTTTAACTTTAAAAAAGTTTTTTGTCTTTAATATATTTTTTTCATTAGTTGTTTTTATGTATTATGTTTTACTTTTTGTTAATAGTCCATTAACTCTTTTTATGAACATGATGACAATCGGTTTATTAATTTTAAATTATATTATATTGGCATAAGGATTTTTTTTTAAGTTAAGTATGTTTAAGGTAGGTTTATGTATGTATATGAATATATATATACACACACATAAT